TGATGATGATGATGATGATGATGATGATGATGATGATGATGATGATGCAGGTAGCAGCCTTCACGACCGAAAAGGATGAACTTTCATCAACTACACAAACATACAAGCATGTGGAAGTACCGCTTCTTCGGCTTCTACAGCTTCCACGCGACCGCAGATGTTAGCCTGGAGGTCAAACGCATGTTCGCCATGCATGTGTTGCACGAGCAAAACAAAACAAAACACGCCTGACGCTCTCCTCACAGAATGCTGGAAGTTCCCAGCGTCACTCAAATCACCAACCTTTAGGAACCATCAACAACCCTTAGCTTGAAGTCCATTCCGACGTTGATGCCACTCCTCCTTGCCTTTGGAACCATCTTCGCAGACTCGTCAGACGCCAGCTTCTTCATGCTGCACCTGGCGATTCGGCCCTTTCGCTTGGATATTTCTCTCTGGTTGAAGCGTGCCACTCCAGCTACTTCGTCCCTTGCCTTCGATTTGGTCGTTGCGCCAGCATCCATCTGTGTGGAGGATTTGTATATTAGGAAACATCTTGGTGGGGGAACAGTTCGTCAGTTTGTCTGCATCTTGGGGTATTCCCCAACCATGGAGTCCCATGAACAATTGCATCCTCAAATTGGTTGAGGTTCGGGTGCCTGTTTGCTCAGCCCGTCTGTCGGTCGCAAACAGGTTGCAGAATGATCTTGGCAGAAAAGAATTAAGGCCCTAAGGCCCTAAGGCTCCAATTACCTCCTGAGAAGGTCTTTGGGGTCTTGACACATGGAGGACCACTGTCCGACCCCCGATCGCCTCCCACACTGATGGATTCAATGAGTCCGAACGGCCTCTTGGTCGTGGCGGTCCACGAAAATGCACCGCAATCAGTAGCTTTGGAGCATGCCTCTATCAGGCGTGGATGAGTGACAGGATGCTCGCATCAGGATGTGCAAATTCTTCCTGGATCTCCTTTCCAATAGATATGGCAATCAAGATGATCTCATGAGACGATATTGAGCATGCTCTCCATGATCTCTTGCCTTCCAATAGACATCTGGTCAGCCTGCCTGTTGGCAAGCGTAAGCACTCTTCGCCTCCTGCTCTCGCAGGCCTCCAGCTGGCACTTTGTTGAGCTTTAAAAAATGATATCGAATGAAATGTGTCAATGCCCAAAATGTCCAATGGCTCACTTCTCACAGCCTTTCTGCTGACAGACACGAGCCGACAGAAAGACCCAAAGGCCCAAAGCCCTAAGCATGTCCTTGAAACCTGAGCCTTCCATGATCTTTCACAATCCCTGAGGGGAAGAATTGTTAGGAACCTGGAAGACGGCAAACAGCCGAAAGCCGCACATGGGGATGATTCCTGTGCCTCCAAACTTTTCATACTGTGAATCTCTTCCTGCGCCCCAATCTCTGTGGGCACACACAAAGGGTCCGTCCATAACATCGGATAGACACTTCCACCCAATCAGCAGGTGCGTCACCAGCACAAGTGGTGGGGGTCTCAAAGCTCAAGGCCTTTTCATCCTCAAGGTTGAAAAACTATATCCAGCATAGTTTAACAAAGCTTTGGTAGGGGGATCTAAGCCCAGACAAGGATGCATGCACCACAGCTTTCTGAGAACTTTCACTGGACCTCATCTCTCCTGGATTCAGATGTGTTTCCAGGGCCCAAAGGGACGGTACTTGAGAGAAACATCGGGAAAAAAAAGAAACAAGAAAAAATATGGTGGATTGAGAGTAGGTGGCACTGGCACTCCAAGCTGTCTTTGAGAAAAAAGGGGTCCATATACTGGGGGGCCCACCAGTGCCATCGAACCTCTGAAACCACTGGCACGCCGGTTTCGGAGCTTCGTCCACGAAACGCGGACAGCACCGTCACCTTGTGCACGGGAGAGCTCCATGTCCAGGACCAGCTCAGGACAGTCAGGAATGACCTGTGCTTTGGTCAGGACGTCCCGTTTTTTCTGTGAAAAAAGAAGATGCAGATCAAGTGCTCTTTACCAGATCAAGCGCTATTGTCGAGGAACAGATCGTGATGTCGCTGCATTTTGGGGGATTCTCATGTGCTTGACATCACAGAAGAAGAGACATCCGCTTGACCCGGTGTCATTGGAGCCATCTTCAGAAGTGCACCGATTTTATGGGACATTTGGCTTGGGGACTTCCATGGTTGGAGCCCATCTGGAGTCACTAGCAAGTTGCTCCCTTTAGGGTGTGCGAACCCATCAATCAGACGGCGTCGACGTCGAAGGACGGAAGGCAAACAAATGGATTGGCCCATCTCTACTTGAACACTACAGCAAGTTGGTGCAGCTTGCGACTGTGGCCTGAAGTCTGCAAGCTGAAAACAGTATAACATACTGATATATGATACTCCTTGATTGTCCTATGGATCTGTGGATGTTCAGCCTGTAAACACATAGGATTTGTGATACATGTGTAAAGGATATTGTCACTATTAAAAAATATATATATATATATATTATATATATATACTGATACTGTACTGCGAGTCGTTGAATGGAGTCGATCTTATGATCTTCAGACGGGCCTTCAAATGTTGAACTGCTCCACCCGGAGCAGTGGAAAAATGAATCATTGATGCTAGTCGTAGTCTGCTACCAAGGCGGGGGAAGAATGGATGCTTGACTCCCGAACATCTCTCGTGAGCATCACAAGATCCGTTCGTCTCCACATCTCTCACAACTGTGTCGCGGACGAAAAAAAGAAACAAAAAAAAGTGGGTGAAAACATCTGAAAACCCATGTTCCACTCAGCGGCGATCTCAGTTCCACTCTGGAAGTCCAGGAATCCTCACCTTCGATATCCAGATTCGCCGGAGTTCCTCTCACCACGAATCGCGTCAAACCGCACGACTCACCCCCACCACCCGCGCTCGCTCACCCCCAGAAGTCCGGGCTCGCTTTTGCGAGCGCGACAGCCTTCGTGTGCGCTGGCTTGGGGCGACAGCAAGGCAAGCCCGAAATGAGGCCCTCCTGGTGACTCCGCTACAACCGGGCGTCACCGCCGAAGCTCGGCGCCGGGAGGTGCTACACGGAACGTTCCGTGGTTGCCGTGGTGGCCCATGGATGATCGAAGCACACTGGTGGTTGTAAATGTGTACATCATCTCTATTCTGCTGCAGGGAAGATCCAAAGTTGTGATATCCGGAGCAAGAAGCTAGTAGCAAAGGGCATCGCGACTCGAACGGGGGCTTTCTCTTCGGCGCGCCCCGATCTAGTAGCTCCTGGCCTGTCCCCAACGGAGCAAGAGGACGCACGGAGCAAGGGGTCGACCGTTCGACCGTTGCCGCACCGTCATGGAATACCGTTCCCAGCCGCATCCCGCCGGCGTTCCCGGGAGTGTAAGGGGCCACCGGTCCGGTCCGAAGAACGGTGTGGTGAAGGAACGGTGTGGTGTTCAGCACGCTGCTGCACACCAAGAACGTGGGTTTGCCAGAATCTGGGACAAAGCGAAGGCTACTGGACCCATCCAAACTCTCATTCAAAGTAACAAGTGCATCGCTACTAGTAGCTTCTTGGGACTAATTGCTTCTTCTTCATTTGTCTCCATACCACACTACCACGTGATTCTTTCAAGGGCCGCGGTTCTTGGTCGAATTGTCACAAGGCACACGTGGTTCTTCGGTTCTTGGTCACCTAGGGGTACCCCCCCACTTCTAGTCGACCTGAAAAAGATGCTACCCAAAGGTTCTTCTTGAATCTTTTTGGCTATAGCGGCTATGGCGCAAGAATAGGACACTCAAGGAAAAAGCTAGCTGAATACATGTGGGTCATTGTAGGGGGTCATTGGGTCACTGCGGGTCCCTGGATATCTTTTGAGCCACATCCACCTTGAGGGTCATTGACCTTCACCGCGAGCGGCTTCGTGCGCCACATCCCCTCCTGCACCATCATGTTGGGAGCGGCCTGGCCATGAGCGAAGGAAATTGGATGGCTTTAACAGAGGCTGGAACCCATCAAGCAATGACAGGTTACATTCCCTGGAACAATCATGGAAGTGGAGTTCACCAGTTTGGTCTTCTTTTTCTCATGGTCATCCGCTGGCCTTTCTTGGCCATGTTGGCCCACGACTATTTCAGGGAGTGTGCTAAACCTGGCCTCAACATAAGAAGAGTCGCGGTCTTAGAATCATCCAATGCGGGCCACTTTGGCGGTGAATCCCCTGTGTCAATAAGAGGTGACCCTGTGCGTCAAGAGAGGGGGGCCCAAGCGGTGACCAAACAAGCCCGGCAAGACGCCATCCAAGCTCTCTAGTGAACAGGCACCTCACGTGGCAGCCATGCGACAGCCATGCGCATGGGGGCATGCGCAAGAGGCCAGGTGGATGTCAACGATCGGCCTGCTTTGGGATTAGTTGACAAATCCCTGTACTGCTTGCACCATGGGGAGGATTGATACGTCACTGGACGAAAAAGGTAAAAACCTCGATAGCAGTTGACAGAAGTCGTAAACAAACTGCAGCTTTAGCAGGGGTGGTGGCCAGAAATGAACCAACAACATCTGGCATCCACGTCACAGAATCTATACTTTGCTTGCACTTCTGTCACAGCCCCTGGCGACCAAGGCCAGCTGGCTCGACGTACGATGGTCCATGTTCCATGCAACGGGTCGATTCACTTCGTCTTTCCACCCGATGTGGGATCCCGGACGGTGCTACGACGGAAAATGCTGGCACGAACTGACATGGTGGACTGGCAAAGAACCTGCCTCCGTTAACACGAAGCCCTAAACGAATGTAGTCCATATTTCCACTAGCTTAGCAAGTTCCGTCTTCAATGGAAAAACGCTCCGTTGTGCAGCTGCGCAGGGGTGTGCAGTTGTGTGGTTTCCAAGAGTGATACCGCTACCGGGTACCGCATTCTTGGTAAATATCACCGGGGTGCTCAACTGCTTGATGACACGTCCCCAGATGGGAGTTTCAAGGTCCCCAGATGTTGCACTCAACCCAGCCCTATTTGCAAGGCCAAGGTACCATTCATGGCCCAAACAAAACCATCGCATTGCACGTTCAAAGTGCAAACCTGTTCGCGCTCCACCAGAGGGTGAAGGGCGTTTCTGCAGGGCTCTTCTGGTTCTGCCAACCAGGATCGACCGTTCTTGCTTGGAAAAGAAGTAAAAGGATGGAAAAGGATCATTAGGTGGTTGGTTTCAACTCACTTGAAAAATATAAGCCAGTTGTTTTAAGCATCCCAAGTAAACGTTGAAAACAAAGCATCTGAAACAAGTACGAGCTCCATCTGTCTATGCGAATCAAGGTCTGATGTGTGAGCAGGTATCCACAGGGCAGCTGGTATCCACATCCAAATCCTTCACACGCATCTGAAGATCCCAACACTCCGACTTGGTCTAACAGTCTAAGCCGAACCAAGTCGAAAGGATCTGGAGTTCCCGCTGCGAGGGCCCCGCATCAACATGACTGGCCAACTCTCCCAATCTGGATGTCCTCAATCGCAGATCAACCAGATTCTGAGTTCCTGAAACATTGCCAAACTACACCACAGCCCCTGCTTGGCAACTTGCACGGGGGGGGAAAGAAGTTGGGGTCTTTAATGGTCTTCCCATCCTTCAGGCTTCGTTGCTTGTTGCTTGAGGCGCTACCCTCCAATCGAGGTGGAGGGTTGTCCTCCTCTCGGTGGAGGAAAGTCGTCTTCCACCATGCCATCCATTTTGATTAAGTATCAGGATTGCCGGAGGGGGGGAGTGTGTGCTTGGGTGGCAGTCCCACCTTCTGAGTGCACTGAACCCGCGGCCCCACCTTCTGGCACTCCGCAGCCGTAGAGATGTTTGCCAACTGCCGCGGCAGTACGTCGATGTCGCCGCCCCGAAAAAGGGGCACTGGACAACTGCGAAAGAGCTTGTTCCCATCCTACAATCCGGATGACTCTGCAAGTGAGTTCCCTTCAAAAAGGTTGCTTTTCTTGCTTTTCAGATCTGCATCCTACCCAAACCTCCACTACAAAAATAGATGATGTCGATGTCATGTCTGAAAGAGGAAGAGCATGTTCTGCCATGCATCTGGACCTTCTGCATCTGCTTCCCACCAAGGATCGTCTTCTCCATAAACTGAGGAGGGCAGCTGCGCACGGCCTGGCATTTTTACACACGCGGCCCTGAAAAGGGGATCTGTCGCAAGCTGCATGCAACACTCATAGAGTCTTGCAGTCGTCTGAGTAGTTCTTGCACTCCGACACTCATAGATGAGATAGGCTCCGCTGGTACCCACGAAGGCCCAAACCGCCGTTTCCGGGGTCACTTGGAAAGTGCGAGGTTCATCGAGGTGGCAGATCGTTTCATGGAACTTGGGCGGACACAGGTGGTATCCGCACTGGGATCCCCTCATTGGGCATCAAAAACATCCAAGCCGAACTCCGTTGTACATGGAATCCACCTCCCCCGTCGACCCCCTAAGCAAATCAAATCAAGCAGCGAAGCCGCCCTTGCCGCCCTTGCCGGCAAACTCCATTCGATCTCTGGAACTCCGAAGTGGGAGGTCTTAAGACCTGATCCTCGTGAAGTGGGGAGTCGGAAGGATGAAATAAGATGAAACAGTTCAATGGATCTCCAACAAGATGAAACAAATCCCGTCCTCCAGAACCTGCAGAGTTGGGTTGTTTGACCTTCCGCCTCTTGCCTGCCACTTCACGAGTTCCAAGCGCGCTGCGTGGTTCTTCAGGAAAGCCTCGAAAAGAAGAGCGGCAGCGTTAGCTGCGTGAAGCATGCGTTTGGAAGAAGAGACCGGCTGCGTTTGGTCCTTAACTCGTCACTTTCCTCAAAGAGAGCCAAGCTTGGATCATGCTCCAAGAAACATGATCCAAAGAGAAGCACGAGTTTTCCAAGAGAAACCTTTTGCTTGTTCGAAGACGTCTTCGGCGGATCTTCCTGCGGGTGCTGCGGGTTTCCGGGTCCGGCCCGGGTGCTGGGGGGGGTCTGTCGGTTTCGGTGGCCCCGGTCGACCTTGTGCTTCTCCTTTGAGTCGGCAGAGACCTGATGTCAGGAAGGAGCTGATGGAGTTGGCAGAAATCAAGACTTGGAGCGATGGAATGCCAGGTGTTTCCTGGTGGAATCCTGGATAGGAACAGGTCATTCAGATCTCAACAAAAATCTTCATGGTGCCAGTATGTCAGTATGTGCCAGTGCAGTTGGTGGAGTTGGCGGTGAAGCCCTCACCATGTTCACCAGTTGAACATCCAGAGCCTCACAAGAGAAACTCCAAATGCTTCCCGTCGAAGGACGGGTCGTGAATGGATTGAAGAGCGGAATAGATTATATAGAATAAATCGAAAAAAAGGTCCTAACTCAACTGTTGCATCTTCTATACCACTCTGAGTATAGCTTTGCTGCCACCTTGGGCTTTCTACCATTTCGCCCCCTGCTCCCGGCACCCGGACCGCTGCTGAGGGGATGAACGAGGCCTTGATCTTCGGCTCCTGCCAGCGAGCCGACTCTGGGTCGTCGTCGATTTCGTTCATTTGTTTGGTTTTTGTTGCGTTCCTAGCGATGCCCTAGAAGCTACGTTCGTAGCTTCTTGGTTTTAATACAGGTGTTTATATATATATATTAAGATTAAGATTAAGAGGTCTTTCTTGGTCCGATTCAGCTTGCGCGACACGTGCGCCGCAACACGTGCGCGTGACACGTGCGCTTTGACACGTGCGCTGCATCTGCAAGTTGTGTTGCACCAGCCTCTCCTCATCTTTGCTTGGTGCAACCTCTAGGGACATTGACACATTGGCCTGAGGTGCAGCTGGGTGACCGATCACTGACGTAGCGTCCGGTCCCATCAAGGTTCCAAAAGCATTTTGCGCCTCAAAAACACACCGGCACTGACTAGACTAGACCGGCTTGCAGGCAAACTTCATGTGTCTCGTTCTGCAGGAATGCCGGAGTGATCGCGGCAAATAAGACACTTGTTCGTCGAACTCAAGGTGGTCCTCCACAAGCCTCTCGAGAAGCTGGTTCAACTGCTGATCACCTTTAAACTGCAAAACTCACTCCCGGGTCCCAAGCCCAAAAGCGAACATGGCAAAAAGTGTAAGTGTCATCCAAAGCGACTTTCCTCAGGAATTGCCTCCCAAAGCCAGACTCCAGATTTCTTGGGAAAGCCTTCTCCAAAGTGACGGAGGGCAGGCGCAGACCAGCAACCATGGAACAATTGGAGGAATCTTCCCAGCAGCAAGCAGCAAGTCGGCATGGGCTCCCAATACCCACTCACCCCCTCCAGTCCCAACATTCTGTATGAAGCAAAATTGAGAATAAAGCCCGTAACGGCCGGTACGGACAGTCATGCTAGTAGCTTTGCTAGTAGCTGCTAAGCTGCTAGGACTGGAGTCTACGTTGCATCATTGGATAGAAGATGATCACTCAACAACGTCCTTGTGAGCTTCTTTAGCAGCCAATGATAAAGGTGGTTTAAAACACATACACTGGCTTTTGAGAAAAGAGTAAAAGCTTCTGTCAGATGCTTGTAAATTTTCTGGAGGCTTCTGATCATGCATGTCTCCAAATCTACAACAATCTTGGTCAAAAAAAAAGGGGTGGCGCCTTTCGGAAGGAAAAAGAGTTGGAAACCTCGAAGAGTTTCACTGCACCGTCTGCAAGCTTTCTAAGCGTCCAGACTCCACAATGTGAGCGAAAGTCATCGCAGCAGTCGTCGAAATCCAAGCAGCTCGGAACGCACTGACACCTCGTTTCGTGGGTCGCTGCAACAAACAGCACCGGTCCCGTCCTTTTTGGAGTTTCGGTGCTGTCCTTCTCTAATCCTCCAGGTGTGAAAAAGCCTCATCTACCTTGGGTGCGGGTGTTCAACCTTCAATCCTCTTCAACCAAAAAAAACCTTCTGCCACACTGCTCGCATCTGCTCGTCCTCGCCGCCTGTCCTCCCCCGCCTCCCTCTGAGCCCCCCACGGTTGGTCGTAGCGATACGCCCTGGAGCAGCCGAGCTCGGCGCATCGCCCTCGGCTCGCGCCAGGCCCGCTTTTCGCGTGGGCTCGGTCGGAGACCTGGCAGCGCCGGGGCCGGCACGAGGGCAAGAAGAAGAACACGAAGAACAGCAGAAAAAAGGTGTTGTTCTTCTGTAAAAAGGTGTTGTTTTATTCCCATCTTAATTATATAAGTAGTTGTAGTTGTATAGAGCTGTTGATGAATGTTGGTGTTGCAGTTGGTGGTTTGTCCTTGACGGCTCTTGGCCAGCAGATTTTGTCATGGCCTTTTCTTCGAATCAAACCAAAGCTTAATATCGCTGAAAAGACAAAGCTCTACCTCGGTGTTGAGGAGATACCGATCAACAGCAGCAAGAACATGAACGATGCTGACATCAACAAAATCGATCAGATTCGATCAGTTGCAGCATATCGACATCACAAAGTGGCCCATAAATGGAAAAAATAATAAAGAAAGACAGACAGACAGAAAGTCACTGCTTGAGTGGCTTAAGTGGCCATGTGATTTTCCCCGATGTTTTCCGCTTCACCAAAGCCTGGCAGAGCTCTCTGTAGTCGGCGCAGCAGGTTCCCTCCATGATGCAACCATGGTGGCAGGAACAAACGCCGCGGGACTGTTGACAGCCGTAGTATCCGCAGGAGGATTTCTCCTGAGTCGACGCTGAGGACCGGGAAAAAGGGGCGGAAGTGCAACAGGAATCTCTCTTGGGGTGAAGGGTGCCCCCTGCAAATTAAAGAAATGAGAGTGGTTCTGCTTTTTCTGCCCGTGGTATGCTTCAGGTACTCAGATTGCTTCAGGTACTTTTGTTGCAGCTGAATCAGCAACATAGAGCAGCACAAGAACGTGGCCTGCCCTTTCTAGTTTGTTAGGGACTCAGGAAATTGAGACAAACTCAAACACTTGGATGCTGTAAAGAGGTGTTTCAAAATCAGGAACCCTCCAGAATACCCCAAGGAACAAGGAAAAATATGTAAAAACCACTCAGGAACAGAGCTCAAACATCTCGGTCTTTGACGTCTTCGACTTCGGGTCCTTGCTGTGCTGTTGCTTGATAATCTCCTAGTGACGGCGACAGGAAATACTGGATCAGCTTTCCTTTCCAAAGCTGAAATGCCAGCAACAGCCCACAGGTGATGCATTGCGTTCGTTTCTGTTTTGACGTCTTTCGATTCTGACGGCAACTCCGGATCAACGAAGGAATCGAAGAACCATTGAGGGGGTGAACTGCAGTCGTTGCCGGTGTCATGCGCGCAAAAATAGGATTCAAAACTAAAACATGTAAACACGGCACGAAAAATCGAGCAAAAGCAAAGCATCGTCCATGAAGAACGAATGAACCATGTCCTCATCCCAGAGATCCAGTGCATGCTCGGCTTCTTCTGCCTGACAGGGGGGCCCACTCATGGTTCACCCAAAAAGTGAGGACCTACAAGCCAGTGGGCGCGAGCCAACGGATTCTTGGTCTTTGTGATGCCTCCGACAAAAGAGCTACTGAAGCAGCTGTTTGGCATCTGGATTCACGACCAAGTCTCAATCTGACACCAAACCACTGCACAGAAAGGAGAACTGTTGACTCCTAGCGACTGACTTCACCTACTTTCAGAAGGCAAATTCCGTATTTGCACAGCCCGAAGAACTTCCAAACATCCAGCCTCCGCTTTGAGCATTGGCCTGACGGTGCAGCAAACATGCGCCAGCCAACGTTGACTTGCACAGTTCCAAGGCATGTACTCCCTACACCCCTCAGAGAGTTGTTGCAGTACGTATATCCCTCGGTGCCCTAACGGTTCACACCCTGAACATTGCCAGGTTCCATGTTCATCCCAGAGTTGCTCTTAAAATCACGAGGTCTTCAGGTCATCACAACGGTAAATGAGATCTGTTTCAGCTCAGAAAGCACCTGCTAACGGGTCCGTAAGTGCTGACCCATCCTCCGTGGTTGATCCGATTCATCCTAAATGTGTGCCTTCTCATTGATAAAACCACCCAATGTTTGGTAGAACTTTTGCACAGTTGGAACATCTAAGTACCAAATCATCGGCCCTTTCCCACAGCGTTTGGTCATAACGAACTTGGTCACCACTGGTCCATGGTCGATAAGGGTTTGTCAAAAGTCTGAAACCAAAAATGGATTCCAAGTGGACAATGGTTTTATCAGGGCCTCTACCTCAAAAATAGACTGGTGGACCAATGATACTACTTCAAGCGCGTGTTTTTTCCATGGTTTGTCCATCCTTGAAGGTCCTTTCTGCATCAGTTTTCCAGCCCTTAAGGAGGAGCTAAACACGCAGTATTCAACACTGAAAACGCGTGTCACATGTGCTTGGTTTACCCCAGCAACACATCGGAAAAATTTGAAAAAAACATCAACCTCTATCAGATAGAGCTGGAGGATGTTGTTTTTCACATGTTGTGGTGATGCACTGATTTGGATCCGACGACTTTGCGTGCTGGAGGATGCGGTTGATTCCACACCGGAAGTTGCGGCCACATCCAAAAATCCCTTCCAGCCATCTACCTCAGCTTCACACACCGCGGGAAGTCCTGATCTTCAAAACTACTATAGTGGTGAAAGATGTTTGGTCCATGGTAGACATGGCTCCATCGCGTGCACATGCGTGCACAGTGGATCGATGGATGATGGGTTAAGTTGAAGGCCTTGTGACCCTTTGAGAAGCGCTAGGCTAGGATAAGTTGTTCTGACCATTTATCACAGTAAAAGTTTGGCTTTGTCAGGCTGTGGCTCCAAATGTCTGGGTGCCGACCGGCTCCGAATTTGGTTCCCCTCTCGGGCCTCGAGGTCAGAAGCGCCAGCACAAAGAGCACCAGGCTGCCTGGCTGTATGGAAAAGAGGGTACCTGTCGCGGATCCATCTCCCCTCTATGGTGTGGGGGGGCTCTTTGTATAGGAATTCACGCCCCTTTCTTTTCAACTGGAAGGTTCTCTGACATGGCTAGGTGATCAGTTCTCCATCCGTTTTGCATGGAATCCGGCGCAGTGAGGCAGCGGTGTGGGCGGCAGCTTGAGCGTGGACGAACGAACATTCTTTCCTGAAAGGCGGGAACTCACGTCCCTTTCTTCTCAACTGGAACGTTGAATGACATGGCTCAGTGATCAGTTTTTGATCAGCCATGCATGCAACCCAGTCTTTCCCACTTGTACCACGCTCATCACAACGGCGCCCAAGCTACCTCATGCTACCTCTGGAACATAATGCTCAATGAAAGAACTGCCCTGCACCAGATTATCAAAATGTTCAGAAAGCATACGGTTCTGTGCCCTCAAGGTCATCTTCGACGAAAACGTAGCAACTGTAGCCTCCTGCAATACATCGCCACCTCCTTTCTTCGAGCAAGTTCGCAGTCTTCAGTCCATAAAGGTGTGTGGCTTCACCTAGATGCAAGCTCGAAGGCTCGTACGGAGAGAACCCTGGCCAAGCGCTGGTTGCAATGTATACTGGATCCTCTCCTAAGCGTCGAAGGCACATATGGACGAAGAGGAGTGTCCCCCTTTACTCTTTTGAAAACCGTGGTGACAAGCTTCACGATGTCAGGATATTAAAAAGAAACACAGTGACGAATGATCAGGCGAATCCTGGCTGACTCCTCCAGTAGAACCAGGTCAGACTCAAGGGCGCTCAGGACTTCTCGAATATTGCCGATCCTCAACAATCCACACCACGTCAAGGCAAAGATCGCCGCTTCGACAGTCCAGCCACAAAGGGAATTCCTTGGACAGCCCCTGTTCTCACAGAGCACACCTTCAAAGGCACCGCCATCAAAAACGCCTCCAATCACAGCAGTGCGACCTCCTCGATCGTGGCAGTGTTGGTCGAGCGTTGAAGCTGCTGCAACCAAGGACGCAAGGATACCAGCCCAAAAGAACCCACACTGGAAACGCCTTCTGAGAGCCGGACAGCTCTGCATGACAGCATTGATCGTGCCCGGAAGCTACCAACACTAGATGCATTGCCTTAAATCCAAAAGAGCTGTAATCAGCTGATCAATGTGCTCTCGAGTCTTCTGCCTGAGCACTCCAACTATCGGCCGTCAGTACTGTTGAGGTCATGTATTCGTCTGTGTTGAATCAAATGACATGGCGAACGCTGAAAACCCAAAGTGAAGGGGGCCACCTTCAACATCTTCAAAGCCAACCTTTTGGGGGTGAGCCAAGAGGAGAAGGAGGATGAGAAGAAGAAGCAGAAGAAGAAGGAAAAAAGGCAACAGAAATCCATCGGTGAGGGGCAAAGAACCTTGCAAGGGTGCGAAATCCACGGAGACAAATCCAACGATGAGCCAAAGCCGCATCCTGCTTTTCATCTTTTGTCACCTCCAGCTTTCTTGTGTTGAAGGCTTTGGATGGAAAACAGTCGAGCTGGAGGGTCTTCGACCAAGGCTAATAGCACGGCCAGATCCATCTTTCCTCCGTCGAGAACGACTAGCTGCTCCATGGCATGCGCCTTGCACACATCTGGAAGATTCCCCGACTGCAAGTGATACATTGTAATAGCAATCTGCTAAATAATCTGAAAGAGCTCAAAGGATGTATATTGTCTGCTAAGGGCCTTCTCAAGGCAGATGGCCTGGGGGCCCGAGCTCCTGCTCCTGATTCTACAGCTGCCGTCCTTGTTGTCAGATCTTGAAGCTGAGTGATTGCTGCAGGGCCAGCCCAGCCCGACGAATGCGATCTGCAGCTGAAGGGGGATGGCCTGAAACCCATCCAAGCCCACTCGATAGGGCGAAGGATTTGCACTTGAAGATGCCGAGTATCTGCTAAGCAGCTGGATGAGCAGCACGGAGAGAAATCCAAGAGCAAGGAGATGGCCACCCAAATCCAAGGTGTAGGAAGCAAAGGATGGTCAGAAGAGATCCAAGGGTAATGACTCCAAGAGTCAGAGCGCAGCCAAGCAAAGGCAAGGACGAAGGTGAGCAGTGAAAGGGGCAACCTTTCGACCAAACCAGTTCGATGAGTTCGCACCAAACCGAACCAGTTCGACCTGGCAGGACCGGTTCCCTGCAGCTCGAGCGTGGACGAACGAACATTACGTCCTGAAAGGCAATGGAACTGTGAACATCTTCAAACGAAGCATACAGTTGGGAAAGACTTTAGCCCCAATCTCGCTTGAAGGTTAAGAGGGTCAGTGCCCAGCTCAGGATGTTAGGTTCCAAAACGATCTGGCAGCACTACCTTCCCGGCTCGGCATGCCTTCCAGCATCTTGCTAAGCCCGGCCAAGGCCGGCTCGTTTGAGCCACTTCACTGGCATCCCTCCATCATCCAAAAGGCCCATCTAGTACAGCCAAACTCGATTCAATTCCAACCCCGCTGGGCAGCCCACCAAGCAGCCACATCCGAAGATTCTGTTGCGGTCGACCTTGACTGCTCGTGTGAGAGAAGACAGTCCTACTGGAAGCATGGAAGGCTGTGAGAGAAGCCCGCTCTCGATGAAAAGTGGCGTACAGTGAGGGGGGTCATTCATTAGGAATCATCAAAGTCTTCAAAACCCAAAATAGGACACGAATGGCCGTTTCCAACTGGGGTTCTAGAAGAGTATATATCAAAAAAGAAACCATCAGTACAAATTGCAACAAGTGGCAGCCTGAGATGCACAACGAGCTAATCACCTGCTATACCCATGATTCACGCCAACATGGTGGTTACAAGGGTTTATATATAGCTCAAATGGTAAGACTCGATTCGTGACAGTGACACATCTCCCAGTGCCTCCGATTTCAGTCGACCAGTCTCCCAGTCACTGTTCGGGACCGAAAATCGTCGAGTCTGCATGGCAGTCTGACTGAATGAGAATGGAACAAGTATGCCCAAAAAAATGACAGAAACAGATCAATCTCGACCTCTTTGCGCTTGAGTTTCCTGCGAGACACAAGCGCGTCCACATGCGTGGAGTCAACGATGTCCCCCAGTCGGTCAAGGTGAAGAATCCGTCGGTCGCGGATGGTCGCAGTGTTCACACCCAGTGATCCGCCCAGTGATCCGACCAGTCATCAATCCACTCTGTCCGCACCTCAACCGCACGGTGTAAATGGGATTTTTGCCTTTGAAACTCGCCAGAACGCCCAGAACGCTGAAAGTAGCACCTTGGTATACTTGGAATACTTGGACAGGTTGCTCTGTCTGAAGGGCGCTTTCAATATGCATGCTGGGTTTTTCAGGCCTCAGAGCTGTTCTTGCCACCTTTTTGTGGGACACCTCCTTGCACCACTCAGCCAGAGCGGTAGCGAGTAGACCCCCCCTGGTGGGGCCGACGGAGCCAGTCGGGTGCGGCGCCCAGAACCATCGTCAGCCGCGGCACGCCCCTCGTCGGCGAAGGATCTGGGAGTTTCAGCCCCTCGGTGGCGAGGCATCCGTTCGGCGCCGGTGAGGCGATGTGTGTCGGGTCGGTGGGTCGGATCGGCCCCCCTTTTTCGTGAGGGTTCTGTTTGCGTTTTTGGGGGTGCGTCAAGGGGAATTTGCCTGAAGTTCTGAAGTTGAGTGGCTTCCATTGGATTGGTTGAGCCTGTATTTGGCAGCGATTTCTCAGGCAGAGAGAGCATCATCTCAAAAAGAAATCAAACGATCCAGACTACGGGGAAACCTGACAGAACCTGTACCGAAAATTGGATGCATGCGGCGGGCTTGGGTTTTCTGAAGCAACGACAGAAGAACTTGTCACCAGCAGTTTGCCCACCCTCTTCTTCCGTCTTTGTCCTAGAAAGACTGCTAAAACTGTGGCATCTTCCTGTTTTGGAAAGACTGCTAAAACTAAACAGAAGGGATTTCTTTCCCTGCCATGTTCCTCTTGTAATCCACTTTCGACCCTTCAAAAACACCGAACCAACACACGTCCGAACCAAGCGCTCCCTGCTGCTTGAGCTCAGGAGGGCCTGAGATGTTGAGCCACCGGTGAACAGGTAAACAGGTGAACTCGTACATCCAGGGTGCCTCCCCCTCCAACATGACATGGAAATGGACCATCCCCTGTTTTGGTAGCGGCAAAATGGCGTTCCTGAGGACGTCCCCACTTCCGTGATGGCTTCAAGGTATTTCTTGAAGCAGGTCCAGTCCGAAGTGCAGGGCTTCATATCCTATATGGCCCGATGGTTGTGGGTCAACAATCTTCGCCTCTGAACCTCTGCTGGATACGGGAAAGAACGACTCAAACGCTACGGAACCACAGCTTTGCCATGCCCGATGGGGAAAAAAAAAGTTTGCCATGGGAGTATCGCCGGCCAGTTGAGCTTCTGGGTTGCTTCCTGTGGCTCGCCACACCCAAATGATATCAAATGATCAAATGTGAGGTTTCCATATACAGCATGGTGAGTTCTTCCGCGCCTCCTGACACAGGTTCCATGTTACTACTTGGTGAAATCTGTAGGTCCTGCACGGGGGTAGGCAGATGACATGACTCTGCCCCAATCGACCCAGCCACTCCTCGCCTCCTCGTCATCTCCTTCTCGAGCGACCAGTACCTGGCCCTCCATGCCGTCTGCCGCGTGCCTCAGGGTGAACCACTTGGTGTGCAGCACTCAGCGTGAACTTGTATCTCGGAAAATAGTGGGAAGACTTACGTAAACAACACCCTGGCGCCAAGTTCTCAACAAATGAGTATCTCAACAAATCCCTCCTTCGCCGAGGCCCTTCGGCTGTGTTCACTCAAAAAAGAAGTGCCCAACGACCGCCCAACAACCCTCAGGCGGCCACAGTTGCCCAAGGCCGTCCACTAGGAAGACATGAAACAGAGCTACGCGGTTGAAGATGAATCACTCCACCGGGGGATTGTCAGTTGGCCTCAAAATAGGATGGTCACCGGGGATGCTTCCGTTCGATGCGTCTCTTGAGGCAACGGGGTTTTCTTCCGAAAGCCGGTGTCGTTCTGACTCAACCGGCAGTGGATCGGTTGACCGTTGAGCCCGTGCGACCGTTGGTGAATCGTGTGTTCGCCAGAACGTAGGGTTAGCTTGGGTTGCTGCTTTCACTGGCTCAAGTGATTGCAGCCTAGGGACTGCTTTGAATAGGACAGGTGTCACAATGTTGGGTGGGCCATGGCTATCGGTGCTGGGCCTCTCATTGACCCTGGAGCTTGTTCAAGGCCCCCCGGCTGATTGGGTCTGGTGGTTTTCTTCCAACTCCTCGGATGAGGTGGAGGAGGTTTTCCCAGACGCGACCGTGGGCGAGACCGCCCCTCCCAGGATGGCCCCTGAGGAAGGTGAGCGTTCCGCTCCTCACGCGGGAGATGCGAACATTTTCGCTCATGTGTGGGGTCACTCAGTTTTCCATTTTGACATCAGGTCCTGGATGGGACCGGCATGGTTTAGCACCCCACAACAGAAGGGAAGTCTTAGCTCCTCCGGGGGCTGGGGACTTTACTTTCTTGATCGATTTGGACTCGCTACCTGCGGAGAATTTTGGCCATGGATTGCCTGGGGAACCCTACTAGCGCTGATTACAGTTTTGACCATTGGGGTAATCTATGCGTTGACTTGGGTCTTCCGGCCGATCCGGCTACTCTTTGATTGCTGCACCCGTCATACTCAAGCTGTTGCACGGGAGGTAAGTGATCTTCTGCCTGAGTTGCAGGCAACCCACACTTACGAATCCTTAGCCATCCGAGGCCCCGGCTCCAGGGAAAGTGTTGATAATGACTTCCTACAAAAAGGAGTCAAGGGTCGAGGGACTGAGAGAAAGCCCAACGATGTGGTGCTTCTGCTCAATGGTCAGGCAGCGAGGGTCAAACCCGATTGCGACCACTGGGCACGCGTTGATCGGAATGGGCTTTGGGTTCGGCTGAGAGAAGTTCGAGGTGTTTCCCATCGAAATCTGAGGCAGGTTTTGGAAGGAGAGAGTAAAGTCCACCTTTGCCGGGAAATGCAGTGTAGTCTTGAGAACCACCCTACACCGGGTATACACTGCAAAACCTACGCAGTGGTGGATGCCAACAGCGTGGTAGATTTGGGAGCGTACGCCGGGTGGTCCACCAGGCGACTGATGGTGCTCTTTACCAGATGTTTCAGAAGTGTCGGACGATCCGTCTGGAAGATGGTCGGGGTACTCTCTGGGTGGACGCTCCTTCGATATCTGATGGATACCCCTCAACCAACCCGTACCATCCAGGATCATGGAGGTCTCCGTACCCTTGACCCTGAGTCGGAATCTGAAGCTGAGGTCCTGGAAGATCCTTGCGAGGCCGTCCTAGTTGGATTGACCCATGGTGGCAAGCCGCGAGCCTTAGCCAATGAACCATGTCGGGATCAAGCGGCTGGGGAGTCGGTCCGACTCCTTGAATGTGACAAGGGTCTTTCCGATGTCAAGGGCAGGCAAGCGGTCCGCTTGTGTGATCACCATCGACAGTTGTATGTGGCAGCATGTTCCGGACGCAAGTGCAGCGTACTCTCATGTTATGAATCACACGATGGAGCCAAACAAGGGGTCCCCCTATGCAAGCATCACCTGAT